TGGTTGGTTGTTTTCTTTGCTATGCAAAAGCTTTTTAATTTCATGTAGTCTCACCTGTCTATTTCTGTTTTTGTCACCTGTGCTTTTGGTGTCATATCCAAAAATCACTGCCAACACCTAAGTCAAGAGACTTTGCCTTATGCTTTCTCCTATGATTTTTTTTTTGTAATTTTATTATGTTATGCTAGTCACCATACAATACATCGTTAGTTTCGCCTATGATTTTTATAGTTTCAGGTGTTATGTTTAAGCCTTCAATACTTTGAGCAGACTTTTGTATATGATGTAAGATAATATTCTGATTACATTCTTTTGCATGTAGATATCTAATTTCCCAGCACCGTTTGTTGAAAAGAATATCCTTTTCCCATTGTGAATTCTTGGCACACTTGCCAAAGATCAACTGACTATATGCATGGGTTTATTCCTGGATTCTCTATTCTGTTCCGTTGGTCAGTCTGTCTGTAGCCATGCCAGTACCATACCATTTTAATTACTGTAGCTTTGTAGTATATTTTGAAATCAGAAAGTGTGAGGCCTCCGGGGTTGTTCTTTCTCAATATTGCTTTAACTATTTGGGGTATTTTTTATGATTCCATATGAATTTTGGGATTTTTTTTCTATTTCTGTAAAAAGTGCCACTAGGATTTCAATGTCTGTTACATCAAATGTGTCGGTTGCTCTGGGTTGTGTGAACATTTTAACAATACTAAGCCTTCTAATAAGTAAATATGGGATGTTTTCCCATTTGTTTATGTCTCCTTTAGTTTCACCGATGTTTTGCAATTTTCAGTGTATAAGTCTTTTATTCCTTGATTAAATTAATTCCTAAGTATTTTATTCTTTTTGATGCTATTATAAATGGGATTGCTTTCTTAATTTATCTTTCTGATATTTCTTTATTATTACATAGAAATGCAAATTATTATTATTTTTAAAGATTTTATTTATTTGACAGAGAGACACAGCGAGAGAGGGAACACAAGCAGGGGGAGTGGGAGAGGGAGAAGCAGGCTTCCTGTGGAGCAGGGAGCCCGATGCAGGACTCAATCCCAGGACCGTGGGATCATGACCCGAGCTGAAGGCAGATGCTTAATGATTGAGCCACTCAGGCATCCCGAGATGCAAATTATTTTTATGTTGATTCTGTATCCTATAACTTTACTGAATTCATTTATTAGCTTCCATAGGGTTTTTGTTTTGTTTGTTTATTTTTTTGTTTTATTGTGGGGTCCTTAGAATTTTTCACATATAGAATTATCTTATCTGCAACACAGATAATTTTACTTTATCCTTTCTGATTTAAATTAATTGATTTCTTTTTCTTGCCTGATTGCTCTGGCTAGAATTTCTAGTACTATGCTGAATAGAAGTAGTGAGAGTGGGTTTTCTTTCTTTTTCCTGGTATCAGAGAAAAAGCTTTTAATTTATCACAAGTGAGTATGATATTAGCTGTGGATTTTCCATATAAGGTTTTTATTATGTTGGGGTCCATTGTTTCTATGCCTAGTGGTTTTCATGAAAAAGTGCTGAATTTTGTTAAATTATTTTTCTGCAACCATTGAGATAATCCTGTGATTCTTATCCTTAATTCTGTTAATGTGTCACATTTATTGATGTGTGTATGTTGAAACACATTTGTGTGTCAAGAATAAATCTTACTTGATCATGACATATGATCCTTTTAATGTACTGACTTAATGTAGTGACTTAGTTTGCTAGTATTTTGTTGAGGATTTTTGCATCTATGTTAATCAAGGGCACTGGCCTGTAATTTTTTTGTTTCTTGTGGTGGTTTTGTCGGGCTTTGCTGTCAGGGTAATTCTGGCCTCATAAAATTTAGTTTGGAAGTGTTCTCTCCTCTTCAGTTTTTTGGAAGAGTTTGAAAAGAATTGGCAATAATTCTTCTTTAAATGTCTGGTAGAATTCACTAGTGAAGCCATCTGGTCCTGGACTTTTCTGTGTTGGAAGGTTTTTATTACTGATTAAATCTCCTCATTCATTACTGATCTGTTGAGACCTTGTTTTTCTTCATGATTCAGTCTTGGTAGGTTGTGTGTATCTAGCAATTTATCCATTTCCTCCGTTATCCAGTCTGTTGGTAAATAACTGTTCACGGTAGCCTCTTATGATCCTTTTTATTTCTGTGGCATTAGGTGTAATGTCTCCTCTTTCACTTCTGATTTTATTAATTTAAATCTGCTTTCTTTTTTCTTGGTTAGAGTAGCTAAAGATTTGTCACTTTTGTTTATCTTTCCCAAAAACCAACTCTTGGTTTCATTGATCTTTTCTATTGTTCTCATAGCCCCTGTATCATTTATTTTTGCTCTAGTATTTAGTATTTCCTTTCTTTTAACTTTAGACTTAGTTTGTTCTTTTTCTAGTTCCTTGAGGTATAAATTTAGCGGGGCCTTTTTAGATTTCTTTTTTTAAGATTTTATTTATTTATTTTAAAGAGAGAGAGGGAGAGCAGGGAGGGGCAGAGGGGGAGGGGAAAAGAATCTGAAGCAGACTCTGCACTGAGCACAGAAGGCAGTGCAGGGCTTGATCCCATGATCATATCATGACCTGAGCCAAAACCAATGTTAAACGCTTAACAGACTGAGCCAACCAGGAACCCCTAGAACTTTCTTTTTTAATGTGGGTGTGTATTGTCATAAAATTCCCTCTTATAACTGTTTTTGCTGCATCCTGTATGTTTTAGTATGTTGTGTTTTAATTTTCATTTGCCTCAAGGCATTTTTCTGATTTCTCCATTGATTTCTTCTTTGACCCTTTGTTGTTCAGGAATATGTTGCTTAACTTCCACATATTTGTGAATTTTCCAATTTCTGTTCTTTTATTGATTCCTAGTTTCATACCATTATGGTTGGAAAAGATACTTGGTATAATTTCAGTCTTCTTAAATTTGTTAAGACTTATTTTATGACCTAACATGGGATCTGTCCTGGACAATGTTCCATATATGCTTGAGAAAAATGTGTGTTCTACTGCTGTTGGAGGGTAAGTTCTAAATATGTTTATTAGGTTCATTTGATCTACACTGTTGTTCAAGTTAGCTATTTCTTTATTGATTTTCTGCCTGGATAATTGTATCAATTATTGAAAATTTGGTATTGAAGTCTCCTACTATTATTGTATTGTTATGAATTTCTCCCTTCAGTTCTATTAATTTTTGCTTTATATATTTTGGTGTTCTGATGTTGGGTGCATATATATTTATAATTGTTATATATTCCTGATGAATATCCTTTTATCATTATGTAATGTCCTTTTTGGTGCCTTGTGGCAGTTTTTGACTTAAAATGTATTTTAAATGTATTTTGTTTGATATAAGTAAAACCACCCCTGCTCTCTTCTGATTACCATTTGTATTGAATATCTTTTCGACCCCATTAACTATGTGTGTCTTTAATTCTAAAGAAAGTCCCTCATAGGCAACATGTAGTTGAGTGTTGTTTTATTATCCATCAGCCGTGTTATGTCTTTTGATCAGGAAATTTAATCCATTTACTTTTGAAGTAATTATTCTTAGGGAAAAACTTACTATTGCATTGTTTTCTGTTTTGTAGTTCTTTTGTTCATCTTTTCTTCTCTTGCTATCCTTCTTTGTGTTTTGTTGATTTATTGTGGTCATACATTTTTATTTCTTTTCTTTTGTATATATTCTGTATGGTTTTTTGTAGTAATCATGAGGCTTACATAAAACATCTTATAACAGCTAATTTTAAGCCAGTAACAACTTAAGTTCAATAGCATATAAAAACTATTCTTTTTACTTGTCCTGCCCAACACACTTTATGTTATTGAAGTCACAATTTACATCTTTTTTTTTCCTTCCAAATTTTTATTTAAATTTGAATTAGTTAACATACAGTGTAATATTGGTTTTAGGAGTAGAATTTAGTGATTTATCACTTGCATAACACCCAGTGCTCATCATAACAAGTGCCTTCCTTAATACCCATTACTCTTCTAGCCCGTTCCCCAGCACCTCAGTCCATCAACCCTCAGTTTGTTGTCTACCATTAAGAGTCTCTTATGGTTTGCTTCCCTCTTTTTTTTTTCCCCTCCTTTCCCTATGTTCATGTGTTTTGTTTCCCAAAATAAATGAGTGAAATCATATGGTATTTATCTTGCTCTAACTAACTTATTTCACTTGACGTAACACACTCTACCTCCATCCACGTCATTGCAAATGGCAAGATTACATTCTTTTTAATGGCCGAGTAATATTCCAGTGTGTGTGTGTGTGTGTGTGTGTGTGTACACACCACATCTTCTTTATCCATTCATCCATCAATGGACACTTGGGCTCTTTCCATGAGCACTTGTTGATAATGTTGCTATAAACATTGGGGTGCATGTACCACTTTGAATCTGTATTTTTGTATCACAGTTTTTATCTTTTTATATTGTGAATTTGTAATTAAATTTTATAGTTATAGTTATTCTTAATGTGTTTTTTATCTTTATATTAAAACTAATAGTGATTTATATATCACCATTACAGCATTACAGTATTCTGTATTTGTTTATATATTTATCATTGCCAAGGTTCATGTACTTTTGTGTTGTTTAGCATCCTTTCATTCCAATTTGAAGAACTCCTTTTAGTATTTCTTATAAAACAGATTATAGGTGATGAACTCCCTTAGTTTCTGTTTGGGAAAGTCTTTATCTCTCCTTCATTTTTGAACTGTTCAGCTATGTGTAGTATTTTTGTTTGGTAGTTTTTTTTTCTTTCAGCACTTTAAACACATCCCCCAACTCCCCTCTGGCCTGCAAGGTTTCTGCTAAGAAATCTGCAGATAGTCTTATGAGGGCTTCCTTGCATGTGACAAATTTTCTTTCGCAATTTTCAAAAGTCATTTTATGTTTGACTTTTGTCAACTACCTTATAATGTGTCTTCACGTAGACTTATTTAGAATTTTCCTATTTGATATTCTTTCTGCTTTATGAATCTGAACGTTCACTACCTTCCCCCAATTTGGGAAGTTTGCGTTGTTATTGCTTCACAAATTTGCATGTCATCCTTGTGCAGGGGGCATGCTAATCTCTGTATTATTCCAATTTTAGTATAGGAGCTGCCAAAGTAAGCATTGGGTCATTATTTCTTTAAATAAGTTTTCTCGTAACAGTGGTATCCTCCCTGGTAATAAACAGGTTTATTCTTACGAAATGCAAAGCTAATCTTGTCACCCCTCTACTTAAAATTCCACACTCTTTAGAATGACCTTTGGCACTTCAAGATCTGGGTTCAGCCCACCTTTCCAACCGCATCTCTCCCCAACACCTCTCTTTCCATCTTTTGAAGCACTAACACTGGTAATCCTGGAGTTTTTTTTTTTATCTCAAGACCAAGTATTCTCAGTTTCTTCAACAAAGGCTTACAATGGCTTTTCTCAGGTGACTAAATGACACACTAGCAAATGCCTTATTCTGAAGGAATTATTTATGTGCTTCTGTGACACCAGCATTTCACTACATCTGTTATCACAATGCATTTATTCATCCATCTAGCAATACTGAGTGTCTAATATAAGCAAGTATTATCCTAGTTAACACATAGATCATATCACTCCTATCCACTGGAACTTCAGTATCTAACAGAATATCAAAAATGTCAACTTACTTCCAGTCTCAGTTTTCTCTGTGATTGGGATTCACAAAGAGCTTTTTACAACATAAGCACAATTAAAAGACAATAAAGATTGAGAATCTTGTAATTCTTAATTTTAAGAGGTGATCATCATTTTCTTAGTGTGACAGGTGCTTTTCAAAGTATCAATTCATCTCTAAGCACAGATTTAGTTAACAGATATATGATTTATGAATAAGTAAATGGATGGTCCTTAAACACCCCTTTGGACCTGAGGTGTCCATTTTATAGTTCTTATTTTTGTCGTCTATCCTTGTTGGTAACAAGAGACCTGTTAGAAGCCACTGTCCTTCCAAAATGTTATGGCTGCAGATGCAATTCGGTGGTACATTAAGGACCTCCTCATATCAAGCATTCAATTAATATACCTGAGGTCCTCCAGTCGTGGAGATACATATTCCTCAGAGACTCTGTTTCTTCAGGAAATAATGTTTGATCAGAATTTCCTAAAGCCTACTTCCTTCTCAGCAATTTTCTTTCTCCTGTTATCTTGTTATTTTGCAAGGAAAACCCTACTATTTATTTACAACATGGAAATTTTACAGGTAATGACCATAAAAACTTCTTAAAAAATATTTTAAAAAGATATTCTGATGGCCATCATCAAAACCAGCATCTTTATTAAATTGCTAATATCGCATCACAGATCTCTAGCAAGCATGATTTACTTTCGCCATGTACAAATAAAGCTGGAATACACAAAAACGTCTAGAAAAAATATTTTCTTTTTCTTATGAACTAGGGCCGTTGAATGCATTAATTTGTAACATACTGATTTAATGTTATACTAGACTCTTTATGAAGGAGAAAACAGGGCCAAAATGCAATTGTGTAACCCCACACATGCACATTTTTAAAATCATACAGCAATGGGAGAGGCCTCAAAGAAGAAACCAGAAAAATAAAACCATAGGCAAACTGCATCACCTCCATGTGAGTCATTCATCTTTCAGTGTTTTTATGTCTGCTTTGTTACCAGACTTACTTAGATTGCAGAACCACTGGGTGGAGGCCACAACTGTCTCTGTGTTGTGGATATTTTTTCATACATTATAAGTACTTAGGAAACATTTTCTAGTAGTAATGATTCAAGAAAACAAATCACGGGGTGCCTGGGTGGCTCAGTCATTAAGTGTCTGCCTTCAGCTCAGGTCACATTCCCAGGGTCCTGGGATCAAACCCTGCATCGGGTTCCCTGCTCAACAGGAAATCTGCTTCTCCGTCTCCCACTCCCCCTGCTTGTGTTCCCTCTCACACTGTGTCTCTGTCAAATAAATAAATAAAATCTTTTAAAAAATAAAAGAAAACAAATCACAAATAGTACATGCTATTGCACTACACATTTATTTACTAGTTCTCTCTAAAATATAGATTATTATTTTGGAACCTCTACTTCTACTTTATTTAATGCATATTCCTAGACAAAAAGCCATTTACACCCTTCTGAAATATGCTCTGTGCCCGCTGCTTAGGTGCAATTGGGTAACATGAGTTTTTACCTTAACTCCTCTTAATACTTTCTCAAAGTTTAATATATGTCTGTTCCAGGTATGGTCTTATTTCTTCAGAGTCTTTTCAGGTCCTGCTTGTGTTTTATATTTTGTATTAAAAATCATTTCTATTTAACATATGATATACTCCCAAACTTGTAAATAATGAAATTTTATAAACTTCTTTAAAGAAGCTCACATTTCATTGCCTGACTGACAAAACTTTATAGAAATTGCTGCTTAGAAGTCTGTAGTCACTTTTACCAGGAGCTTGACACTGATATCTTGGCTTGGCTTAGTCATGTGGTTCACAAGACTTTAGTTCCTACAAAGTATCCTGACATCTCTAAGTCAGTCTGGGGCCCTTGCATTTTTCATTAATTAAATGGAATTTTTAAACAAAGGCATTATTGTATTAATTAGTTTTTATGAAAAGAATAAAAATACACAGTTACTCAAAAACTATTTTAATTTTTAAACAGTGTGCTTAGCTTTCTAAATATTTTACTTCCCTATCAACAAAATCCAGACTATTTTAGGTGAATGGAAATAAAGATTCCATGAAGGGGGGCAGTATTTAACATTTCTGAAAGTTATGTAAAATAAACATGAAGTTGATGTAGGAGGCAAGTATAAGTGTGGAAGTGAAGGGCTGATGTAAGCAAGGTGGCAGATATTCCAATAGGAGTAAATCTTTCAAGGAAAAACAGCACAGGAAATATAGAGAGAAGAGGAGAGGGGAGGAGAGGAGGGAAGGGAAGGGAGG